TACTCGGATTATTGTGGCAATTAAATAGCACGATGAAAGACAAAAATATCTACCCAAAACAAGATATCATGACACATTTTGGTGACATGTAGTGGGTAAATGATAGTTTAGGCCCGATATCCAAGAGGGGTCCGACGTGAACAAATCGAAGTGACTTACCTTCTCTATTTTATAAAACCAGGGGTATGACTTTTTAAGTAAATCGTTAACTCTGTTATTATAATTTTTTTTTTATTTCTCATAATATGGAATACATTGTATATAAGTACTAGAAACATAATTCACAAGGAAAAAAGGGAAAAAAATATTTTGACCTGGAGTGTATTTGGGGGGGGGGGGGGTCCTGTACACAAGGACCTGTGTCTAGCCATTGTGACAAGATTTGAAATATTTTACTCCTTCTGCTTAGGTTTCGCCTGAAATATACCATCTTCAAACACGACCTGATTTGTTGTGTTGAGGTCAGTTCATGAAAAAGAAGGCTATTAAAATTTGTGAATTGAATATTGTAATTTTTTCCTTACTTTTTGGGGTAAATGCGCTGCTAGGTTTGATAGTGATTTTATAAAAGGTTCTAGTAAATTATCTAGAGGGTCTTATTGAACTTTTCCTTGATTGTGCAGTGCCTGCAATACAATGGCTACATCATGTTCAGCACGTGGTGGTGATTTAGTTGCTTCATCTACATTCTGTTTTTTTAGGCATGGAGGCAGAATTTGTTGTGATTTGTCTTGAATAAGGGCTCTTAGATTTCGACGCTTTTGACGCACGTAAAATACTGAAGTGTATTTGACAATAAATCAGCAGATGTTGATCAATTAATTCGACAATAAATCAGCAGATGTTGATCGATAAATTCTTTGAAAATAATTATTGCGTCTGCTTCTTTCCGACTACGGAATAAAAAGGAATATTGTAGTAGACATGCGCATATAACAGATATTAGGATTTTTAGCACCGAGCACGATGAATTATGAAGACTATCTAGTTATCGATCTTCGTATATGAAGAAATTAAGCTGCACGAAATAACCAGGTTTATCTATATTGGATAAACCCCATTAATTCTATGTGGTTATGTTATTTTTTTACGAACAAATAAAATGTCCTGACATGATCTACATGTATCAATGAATAGAACCATTATATATACTTTTTAGCTCACCAGAGCCGAAGGCTTAAGTGAGCTTTTCTGATCACATTTTGTCCGTCGTCCGTCTGTCCGTCTGTAAACTTTTCACATTTTCAACTTCTTCTCAAGAACCAATGGGCCAATTTTGACCAAACTTGGCACAAAGCATCCTTGTGTAAAGGGAAATTTAAATTCTTAAAATGAAGGGCCAAGTCCCCTCACAAGGGGAGATAATCAAGAAAAGACAAAAATAGGGTGGGGTCATCAAAAAATCTTCTTCTCAAGAACCACTGGTCCAGAAAAGCTGAAACTTATGTGGAGGCATTCTGGGGTAGTGTAGATTATAAATTGTTCAAATCATGACCCCTGCGGGTAGGGCGGGGCCACAATGGGGAATCAAAGTTTAACATAGAAATATATAGGAAAAAACTTTGAAAATCTTCTTCTCAAGAACCACTGGTCCAGAAAAGCAGAAACTTATGTGGAAGCATCCTGGGGTAGTGTAGATTCTAAATTGTTCAAATCATGACCCCTGGAGGTAGGGCGGGACCACAATGAGGAATCAAAGTTTTATATAGAAATATATAGGAAAAATCTTTGAAAATCTTCTTCTCAAGAACCACTGGTCCAGAAAAGCTGAAACTTATGTGCACATGGAAGCATACTGGGGTAGTGTAGATTTCAGAATGTTTAAAATTATGATCCGAGGGGTAGGGTTGGGTCGCAATATGTATTACAAGGGGGAAATCTTGTAATTTGAAAGAACAAAAGGGTCAAAGCTTCTCAGGTGAGCGATGTTGCCCATGGTCCTCTTGTTTTTAGATTTCTACTCCAGAATTTTCTTTTTGGGGAGGGAGGGGGGGGGGGGCTGGTTTAGAGGTATTAGTTAATGATAGATATATCATAACAAATTTATTAATTTTGTTATAGCCGATTTCATTGACTCTTTCTCTCGGCCGGTCTCCTAGAAATATTCTTTTCGTATGATTTTTATATTTAATCGTGATTTTTGGAAACTTAAAGCATCAGACATTGAATACGTATATATGATTTATTGCATATATTTCTTTCGTTTGAATAGTGTTTCTAGATAAATTCATTAGATAAATTTAAATTCCTTGTATAAATAAATTCATAAAATTATCGTTACTGTGAGATACAACATTTATCTACGGAGTTTTTTAAAAATCAAAAGAAAAAATTCTTTAATTAAACGAATTATAACTCAACCTGGATGAAAATTTCGACATTAACACGAATATGTAATAAATGTTCACCACTGAGTAGAAATAATCAAAAATGATTATAGTCTGCTATTAACAACGATCCAATGAAATATTGCCAAAAAATATCAAAACCTTTATAAAATTAGCATAGTAACCTTAAGTGATATATCATACTTCAAAAATATTTCATCTTTCAGATTTGCAGCTTTGCAAGTACAATGTATACAAATTGACATTCTGTGGTTTACATGTATCAAGTAAAAGAATCTATTCGTCTAATCAAGAAAACGTTTCGCATTTTGAAACAATCCTATCGTGTTTTGCTTTCATCCTTTTCGTGAACATCGTTTATCAGGTCTATCGTGTTTTGCGTTTATCCTATCGTGCATGTATCCTATCGTAGCCCGTGCATGTATCCTACCATATCCTGCGTGTATCCTACAGATTGAGTAGTCGAAAGGAGAAAGTAAGCAAATATAAATGTATGTGCGTTATTTCCCAAAGTATTCAAATATTTTCCTTGAATATTTCAACACACTTTCTAACTCATACACACATCTATAAAAATTAAACAAAAAACGTGAAAAGGAGTATCTTGTTGTGGCCTTCAATTCAAAGTTTTGATACATCAATAACGCTTTGTAAATTGAAAATACTTATTGTATTCATTTTCATTCTTATGATGATTCGAAAAATCCCAAAATCCCAAATAATTGTAGCCCGGAGGACCGGGCTTCTCTATACATATAAGTTTAAGTGTTGGTAAATGGGGATTGGGGTGGGAGTAGTTATTCAGAATTAAAAGTTTTTTAAACATTGAAAAGATTGTTCATCAGAATGTTCTTTCCCTTTATAAATTAAGAAATACATAATATATTAACTTCCAGAAAGTAAATCTGTAAAAATATACATGTTTTTAATATTTAATACAACAAAGTTGCTTATCATTTACTATCGAAAAAAACGACAGGCCCCTTTTTTAGAACATCGAATTTTACTTTTCGCATTAAAAACGTACTCAGCACAGTTCGTGTTTTATATTCTAAAATTGAAAATTTACACATTTTTGAATATAAATGATGAATATGTCCAACTTTAATATAATTTTATGCAGCCAACATTTACTTGAGTAATTGATCAAGTTTAAAATAGAATCATTTTTGTTTGATTTTTATCTGGTTTTGTTTTCAAAATATTCGCGACTATCGTCTCCATCAATTAGATGCATGCCTTTTCACACATATCGAAGATGTTTGATGATCAAGACTCTTTCATTGTTTACTTTACATATTACCTGGACGACAATTGATGGTTACATCAATGGTTTCTTGTTATTTATTGATTTAACAAACAAAGATACAGCAGAGTCTGACACATCTGTTTCATATACTAATATAAAATTTTACTCGGAAGAAGACGGTAATGGTTACCCAACATCAAATCTTTATGACAAACAGAATGACTTCATCTTCTCTTTATTTACCTTACGTGGCAATATACTTGCGCATAATATACATGTAGCTCATGTCTCCCGTTTTAAAACGCAAGGACATGTGTATTTACGAACAATTTTCTGAAAAGAGACAGGATTCTGTTTTATATTCTTTTCCTAAGTGTTTGTATCTTTTCCTACCTCTTCTGTACAATGCATGTTTGTACATACATTTAAGAGAATAAATCATTGTCATTGTCCATTACATTAATAAGTGCTTCCCATCACCATTCAACAGTGATGGATATTTTCAACTATTTTAATTTTAGAATATACAAAGGGTGTTGCTTATAGACAGTAAGGAAATGCAAGACCGTCTTTACACATGAGTGAAAGCAAGCGTCGGCTTAAATTCGCCCTGTGGTCAATGCAGGTGCTGATAATTGCGAATGCAGAGCTGATCAAGAGCGTAAATTGATTTTCAAACAAGTTTATTCAGAGAATTTGTGTCCCCCGCTTAGGGAAAAAACTTGCTGTGGGCTACGGAAGACCCCTATTGATTTTGAGGTCAAAAGGTCAAATTTCAAGGTCATAAATTTATACATTCCGTCTGTGTGAAACACTTCCGTTTTCGGGTGATATCTCAAGAAGATTTCGAGCTTTTGCAAGATATGTTACACCCAAACTCCCTAGGACCTCTCTCACCCCTCTCAAAGTGTCCCGTTTGTTTTATTTGTATTTATTGTATTAAATGTCGCTAGGCACTATTTTTAGCAAAGGAACATACAGAGTTATTACGTATAATACAGGTTGTTGGCGGACTTTTTATTCTTATTACATCTATTCAAACTGTTTAGAGTTCTTCTTTAGGCCATAGGAAGTTGCTATGCAAAATTTCATTGCGAAAGCTCAAAGGGTTCTCGAGATAATGCGCGGAAACGAAAGCGTTACAGACAGACAGAAATACGGACTGACAGACAGCTAGACGGATGGACAGACAGACCCAAATTAATATCCCCCACTCTCAGTGAAAGCGGGGAATATTCACCATTTTCAGTGAAAGCGTGGGACAAATAGCAGACTCCGAACGTACCCAAAACGCAACCGGGTTTTTTTTTTTCTGAGTTCTCTCTGGTGTTAAGTAATGTTTAGTCGGAACTATATATATTTTGTGCATTTAGGAAATTAACCTGATTTTTTCTATGAATTCACAGATATGTTAATTCTGTCCTTAGAGATGATTTTGAGAAAATTTCAACTGGAGGTATGTAGTTTGATTGTCTGCGTACATGTATATACAACGCATTCCAAATCAAAACAGAAAATCTTTTTTTTCTGTTTTAAGCATTCTGCTTTCAGGTATTGACAAAATCAAACAAAAAACGGATTGTTATGTAATATTTATTAGAAAGATAATGAAAATTCAGCATGTTTCCAGTATATAGACGATCTAGCGTCAAAACCAAACTGATTTGAAAACATTTAAAGGGGAGATGGACAATGAATATATACATAAAATTGAAGCAAGACTTTAACGGGTAAATTTCCCCTCAAATACAATAACTAATACAACATTTATGACTTGAAACATTTTAAAAATACGTGTAGCAAAAATCTACGGATTAAATTTCCGCTTTAAAGTGTCATTTGTACAGATTATACACGGTAAATAAAAGCTGAAGCAACAACACTGATGAAAGTGAGATTTTACGGGGTAAATTATCTTTGATACAGTACAAATAACTGTTTAAAACCTTAAAAACCAACAGATCAAGATAGTTGTTTTTGCTTTGAAATACTGTATGTCAACTATATCAATGTTATTTTTGAGAGGAAATTTACTCTGTAGATTTTTGCTATCTTTAAATGTTGCTTTTCATAAATACTGTATTTAGTGAATTTCTTGGGGAAATTTACCCCATAAAGTCCTACTATCATCAAATCAAGATTACTGTAAATGTTTTAAATTTAGCGTGTACGATATTTTTTGGAAATTGGATTTTGAACAAATTGGCGTGGGTTTGGTTTAGCGCATATCTTAATGTTCTTCTCTATAGGTATATGTGCCAGACATTTAGCGTTATACTTGAATTAGCGGATATTGCTTTCCGCCAAAAACGCTAATAAGAATACACAGCCAAATGTAAAACGTTTACAGTACTGTATATGAACTGTATCAATGCCATTTTTGAGAGGAAATTTACTCTCGACTGTAGGTTGTAAGATATTGCAAGTTATCTGTACTGTATCAAAGATTTTCTGTGGGGGAAAATTTACCCCGTAAAATCTCACTATCATCAGTGTTGTTGCTTCAGCTTTTATTTACTGTGTATAAACTGTATCAATGACACTTTTGAGAGATAATTTAACCTTTAGATTTTTGCTACATGTATATTTAATTGTTTCAAATCATAAATGTTGTATTAGTTATTGTCTTTGAGGGGAAATTTACCCCGTAAAGTATTGCTACAGTTTTATGTATACATGTATATGCATTGTCCATCTTACCTCTTCATGTTTTCAAATCAGTTTGCTTTTGACGCTAGATCGTCTATATACTGGAAACATGCTGAATTTTCATTATCTTTCTAATAATATTATATAAAATTAAACTCTGTTTTTGTTTGATTTTGTCAATACTTAAGGTAAAAATGCTTAAAACAAAAAAAAAAGATTTTCTATTTTGATTTCGGAGGTATTTATACGTCTCATTGAGTAATATAATCAAGACGTCATTAGCAACGTTACTAGTGACACGTTTTGAAAGTTTTATAACTGTCCAAAGAGCCAACATGGCGCTTACAGTAAAGATTTAGACTCTCGACTTATATACGAAATAAGAAACTATGTAACAAATTTGTTTATCCAAATTATTTTTCTAAATTCTTCGATGCTTACGAATAAGGATTTTAAAGTGCATGTACTTGGATTATAAAGAAAACAGGTTTGCTCTCAAAATCGAAAAGACTCATAATCTCTTATTCATTATTTTTAGGAAAATCAAAAGATTTTGAAGGAATCAGGTAAGAATTTTCATGTAATGCACATGTACATATATAAATATTTCCATTTTTATTCAAATTTTGTTTTGCTGTGATAACTCTGAGAAAATTAGTGGAGTTGATTTCCTGATAATTCTACCGGAATTTAGATAAGCCAAAATGATAGATCAGGAGCTAAGGAGGCCAAATATGCATGTAAATCTCGTGCGGTTGTCTTTGTGTTTGATGTCATTGGGGGAGGACTTTGGATGTAGACATTGGAGTAATGTAAATCTATGAGTCTACATTTTAAAATCTAAAGCATTTAACAATTAAAGGCATATTTTAAAAATCTTCTCAAAAACCACTGGGTAAGGAAAACTGAAACTCATGTGGAAGCATTCTCTGGTAGATTAGATTCAGGTTTATTTAAATCATGACCCCCGGTTAAGAGCGGGGCCACAATATGGGTTATCAATGTTTAACACAGGAAAACATAGGAAAAATCTTTAAAAATCTTCTTTTTAAGAACAGCAAAGCCATGATTGATCATAGTTACAGTGTATATGGAAGCATCCTCTGGTATTGTAAATTCAATTTTGTTCAAATCAAGACTTTCGGGGATAGGATGGGGCCAAAATGGGGTATCAAAGTTTAACAGAGGAATACATAAGAAAAATCTTTTAAAATTTTCTTTTTCTCAAGAACATCAAAACTGTGATTGTTCATATTTATGGAAGCATCATCAAGTAGTGTAGAATCAATTTTGTTCAAATCATGAACTCAAGGAGGCAGAGTGGGACCAAAATTGGTGATCAAGGTTTTATGTAAAAATATACTGAAATATCGTTAATGTACTTCACAAGAACAAGAAAGCCTTGATTGCTCATCAATAAAAAAAGCATCAAAAAGTATAAATTTAAGTTTGTTCGATTAACCCCCCCCCCCCCCCCCGAACCTACTTTATATTTAAAGTTTTCAATACGGAACTGATTTTTTTCATTAACCAAGCTAGTTGCTCAGGTGAGCGATGTTGCTCCTGGGCCTCTTGTTTCACAATAAAATGGAAATAAGGAATCACTGTCTAGTAAGTATAGTCTTCCAGGAACATCAATGATAGTGGGAAAGGTGGGATAATTCATGTATAACGGGCTTATCCCACGTTTCCCAATATCGTTGATGCTCTGACATACTATACTAACTGGACAGTGATTCCTTAAGAATTAGTTCAAACTTATAAATGATTATTGAATTTGAAACAAAAAACGCCACAAAGTCTGCCACATCTATTTTACTAACTATATTTGACAAAGGCCAACTAACTCTTTCTCTTCTTTAACTAGTTTCTGACAAACAAAATTACTTAAGTTTTTCCATTGTAAAGTCTCTTTATCTATGTAGTAAATATTCCGCTATTACCTGCAAATAGTGTTTAAGTCCCCCTTACTAATTCGCCATTCACGAGCATGCTCTGAGTACAATCAATTTTTACCAAACAAGTTGATACAATGATTTCAACAAACTAGTTTAAAGACAGCATTCTGTGAATTCTATGTTCCTTATAATGACCTTAATAGAGATTGTTCTATCTGACGTATCCGTATAAGTATACGTATCCGTATCCGTATCGAGATATGAAAGGCATCTCGATCCCGATGTCTAAACCATTTAATACAATTTCCATATCTGTTTGTCGTTAAATAAGCCACAGTCCATGTATTAGAAAATAGCAAATAGAAATTTTTGTATTAAAAATAATAAACTGCTGTACAACATTTCTTAATAAAAATTATCTAAAAAAAAGAAAGAAAATGAAGTCAAGTATAAAATATTTTGTTTTATAATTATATTGTTTTAAAATTAATTTCATTTTGCTTCAAAATATTTGTAGGAAATCCCCTTTCTCTTTTTCCTCTCGCTTAATATCTAATATCTTTTATTGATTTTGTCTGTATTTTTCATTTGCCATGTAACGGCTTACCAATTACCCCCCCCCCCCGACCACCACCACACACAAACTGAAATACGAAATACGTTATCATCAACGCGATCGATAAAACGTTGTAGCCGTTTTTCAAGAGACTGTTTAAACTGATTTCATAATTAGCTTCAGGACCGTTATAAGTATTGAGTATATGCTTTGTAGAGCCTGTGTAACTTCCCCTCCCCTCACATTGGCGTCAGAAGCAAATTAAAAGTAGGGAGGGGGCTATTTGGAAGAGAAAAAATTAGCCCTGAAAAACCTTGACAGACAAAAAAGTACTAAAATACTACTATGTGTATGTGTGTGTGGGGGGGGGGGGGATGTCGAACTTTTTTCATTGCCATTTTTTTTCAAACACTAGTACTACCACTTACCCTTCTTTGACTGCAATACAGCGTGCCTGTTGAAAGTGGGGAGGATGCTTATCCTACCCTCAATGTTCAATGCATTGTGGCAACGCACTTTGAAAAAATTACGCACTTTGAAAAAATTTTTCAAAGTGCGTTAAAATTTGGACAAAATCAACGCACTTTGAAAAAATTTTTCAAAGTGCGTTAATTTTGGGACCAACTTAACGCACTTTGAAAAAATTTTTCAAAGTGCGTTAAGAGTCTACATCAATATATTTTACCATGGAGACACTTAACGCACTTTGAAAAAAAGTCATATTTTAGTCATGGAAAGCTTTTATTTGTTATTTATGTTTTAAAAAACTAAGCCTAACCCTAACCTAAAAAATGAATTGATTTTACTCCCGTCAAAAAGAGGAGAAGATGGGTATAAGATCTCTATGTGCAAATCTTTATCTTTCCAATACATAAGTGTCTGTAACAAACGGGGAAGAGGAGCAATAAACCTAAAAAGGGTACGCTGCATTTTCAATGCTTATACGATGTATATATATTTCCAAAATAAGTGGGGGGCTTAGCCCCTCCCATGGTCCTTTGCCCAGTCTCGATGTCTATGCTAAATTCAAAGCATTCATATAATTATGTATTTACCTAACTGGTATGACGTTGAAAACTTTCAATAATAAATGAATAAATTAAAACCGATGAAAACTAGAATTTTTTAAGTACCGTAAAAAGTATGAGAGAGAAAGAATTTTCATAGTTTTGAACAATCAAATTGGCCCCTTTTTATTATGATAAATGCTAAGTTGCTTGAAGCTGTCCTCTGTTTGTGTCCCCTATACACCTTTACATCTACTTATTAAAGATTAGAATTTAAACAAAAAAGGAGAAGAAACGAATTAATGAACTTAAACAATTGTCACTCTTTTTTTAAAGACCCTTTAATTTTCCCTTTCATTTTATCAAAACCTTACAGTGACTTTATCATAAAAAAGTTATTAAACCAGGATCTGTTATTTATCAAACCGATTATTTGGAGTAATATTGATCAATCTTTACATTTTTTTTCAAAGTGCGTAATATGGTCGATATTAACGCACTTTGAAAAAAAAATATTTTTTTCAAAGTGCGTTAGCTTGGTCCCAAATTTTAACGCACTTTGAAAAATTTTTTCAAAGTGCGTAATTTTTCAAAGTGCGTTGTAACAATGCATATATTAAGTGTATCTTTGCCAAAAAAAGTGGGAAGGGGGGGGGGGCCCCCCCCTCCCCCCGTACCGACGTCTGTCCCTCATGTGTGCATGCCTCACCATGTGCACACACAAAATTTGATAAGTTAAACGTCTTTTGACTTTCATTCATTAACATCATTTGTGGTTTAATATAAGAACTATTTCATAATACGGTATTCAACTCTCTTTTTATGCACAGAATAAAATAATTATGGCTCAAAATTTTCAAAATAATACATCTTATTTTGCTAAGCCTACTTGTCCATCGTGCTAATTTTCTTTTCTTTTTTATCTTACTTTCTTTTTTATATAGTATATTAATTTGGCCGAGATCGAGATCAGTGTGCACAAATTATAGAATTGAAGAGAAGGAACTGCTTCAATGTAGCCAAGAAAAAAATTACACATTAAAGAAAAATTACAATGATAAAATTTCTAAGTTTTTCATGTTCAATTTCCAAGCTCATTGAAACCATATGGATACGCATAGGCGTCGGAACCGGGGAGGGGGGGGCGCTTAATCCCCCTCCCACTTTTTTGCAAAGATGGACATAATATAAGGTATTTAAAATTGGGGTTTACCTTTTTTGTTGGTTTAGCCCCCCTTTCAATTAGCGCCCCCACTTTCTATTTCCTTCTGCCGCCCATGATACGGCTATCGACCTACAATTTAGGGAGTATTTTCAAACCGCCCCAGAATTACCAGCTATCCATTTTTTTTTTGGAGAGGGGGGGACTATGACCATCAAATACCTGATAATGAATGGCATAGAAGATGATAAAAATGGAAAAGAGGATGGACATTTTCGGTGAATCACCCATACACATTTGTTTTGCCATACAATGTATGGTTAAATCTTTCCCAGTCAATGTACAACTACACGTATTTACAATTTACAAGTTTGAGTTTAAGAGGTTTAACTGTATATATCATTATATATTATTGGAGATATGTCGTGTTCTTGTAAATGTTAATTCGAGAATGAACAATGAAACCCTAATGTTGAGAAAGAGAGAGAGAGAGCGAGAGAGAAAGAGCGAGCGAGAGAGAGAGGTGAATCTAGAAATATTTTCGAACTATTTTTTTACACATCTAAATTAAAAAAAAACATACTTGTTTTTAGAATTTTATTTTTAAACATTTAACCCCCCCCCCTCCCCTATTAACAGGATGCATAAGTCGTGTACAGCAACTGATATGTTTTTATTAAAAATATCACAATACATATCATTTGTTAGTGAATGAGGTTAAAAACCAAACATGAAACGATGGAAATGTAACCAGATGGTTTATGCATCGGGATCGAGATGCCTCTCATACCTCGATACGTATACGGATACGGATACTTATACGGATACGTCAGATAGAACAATCTCTATTAGTAGATATAACCTCTCACTAGGTCATACATTGGCCGATTTGTTTAATACGATTTTTTGACCTTTGTTTTAGCATTGAATTTGACTACGGAAT